GGCGGTAGCAGCGCTCGAACCTCGGACCATAGGGTCTAAAGCACGCCGGTGACAGGACTACTGATGAAGTCTAATAAGAGCGAAACTCGATTCTAGTGGTTCCGAGTGTATGGTTGACTGGATGAACTGAGGATTGTGCGTAACGGTGAATTCCGAAGGATAGTCAGCTCAAATCAATAAAAACAAATTATCCCACACTACTACTCGCAAGATATGGTGAGTCAAATGCGGAAAACTACATAATTTTTCATAACGACTGAAAGAATTGTATCATCTTCGGTTGAACTGTGCGGTAAAGTTGAAAAATATCATACAAGAACTGCTTTTAGCGCATCACTTCTGAATGACCTTATCGGGGAGAATCGAATTGTCACAACGTTCCTCCCTCAAAAGACCCTCGGTTAATCCGGGTGGCCCGAATTCTAGGCTTTCGCGGTATCCCAAACCCGGACATTGTTTTCAAGGTCGGCCGATGTAATGCCACTTTCACCGTGGTGACCCAATTCTCACCCGCGCTTTTCGAGCATAAATGAAATGATTCTGCTCGCAAATGCAGGAAACTCATACCGTCCAACCACATCTCTAGCTCCACTTCACGGAACAGCGATCAACCATCCGTCGCCAACCATATCGGAACACACCCTAGACTGAAGCCGTTTGGTGACAAAGTTAGGGGCAATGAGTACTTGTTTTTCGGACGACACCAAGACAATCAACATAGGAAGAGAGAGGGATTTAGGTATGCATAGGAACTCCTCAAATCAACTATGAAACTAAGAACCTGCCATTTCGGGGAACCAAACACGCATTTGGAATCGCAAATTAACCGCTTTAAGTTGGAGAAACCAATACACAGAGTATCCAAAAGTTTTACAAATATATAAAGTAGGAATTAGAGAAGGTGACAGCTGACGTTGAGCGAAATTATTGTCCATTCAAGAAATGAAACACTGATCAGGACTTCAAACAAATAAGTAAAAAGAAATAAGATATCTGACAAGTTTTTATCGTGATTGTTTCGTTCGCGTGTTTCGGTGAAAACACATTAAAACAATTAATATTAGACAAAATCACAATCGCAGTTACATTTTGAAAACGCACAAGAACACCAAGTACACAAAAGTTAAAGATACACAAGGCGCCAATTTGGAGTTCCTTTCAGTCCGTCCACTTTAGCACCACTGCTTGTGACGTGGGGAGTCACCTGGAGTTCTCGTTTGTGATATGCACGAACCGAAGGTCGATGTCCCACGCTAACCGATGTGATCCCTCGATGCGCCAGGCTCTGATACGCTTGTGCCTCGTCTGTCTCACTCAACTGACTGGTCGATTCGTCTAAAAACACTACTTGGGGACGTCTGTAGCACACTGCAGCGAGGACCAGGCGTTGCATCTCTCCAGGTGAGTAGCAACTTCGCCTATCAAAGATGGAGGAACAGACGGGGCAGGGGTGGTATCAAATGACCGGATCGAATGAAAAGTTACTTTCAATCAAATAGGTGATGGGTGCATTCTGCTGAAATGAACGGAGAAAACAATCTGGTCTGCAGAGATACGCATACTGTATCAAGCTACTTCCTGAACTGAAATAAAAATCATCTAGGAAAGGTGAAAGTGAAGACAGACGGTTCAAGGAATTACATTTACTTGCGAGAAGCAGTGCGCTGGACTAGAAGTAGATGGTTAAATTTACTGTGCATCGCTGCACTCGGTTTTAATGCGCACCGCATGCAATCGGTTAATCAAAGGTCAATCGCGTTGCATTATTCATGTTTTCGCGATCAGACGATGATTGTTCGTTCAGATGGACAAAGCCATACACGTGATCCCGTCAGTACTCCCACGTATTACGCATGGCGGAAGCCAAGCCCAGACACTGACCGAGAGCACTGATACGTTTACATGTGACCATGATGCTGTCAACCATCTCCCACAAGAAAGGCCCAGACGACTTGATTCCGAGGAGAGGGGAAAACTAGGCGAATCAATCAGCGGCACTAAATGTGAACCGGAGGTTTAATTGGTGCAGCACGGTTAACTGTGATGGAAGCACACTTGGAGCATGAAATTCACCTCTGAATAGAAAAAAAGTCATAAAACTGCGTACTTTATCCGTCACGAGCGAATAATATCGATCATTTTATAGCATTTTCACATTACAATTGGGCGTAGTGCTAAGACCTCGTGGAAACAACGGTTGAGGGATCGTCAGTCGACCAAAGAAGGTATTTTATTAGCCGAAATGAACAATGGCCAAAACGCGGTCAGTTAACCGTCCATAAATCTAAGCGTTCACAGTTGAACTGTTACGTGATGCGGTATAAGATTGCATGAGCGAAAAACACGAGATTTTTTTTAGGGAGGTTAAGCAGATATGTACTTTTGTAGTTCGACAGTCCATATGTAAAGTTGTCCTTGTTGAGTTCACGTGGCCCTCACAGAAGTGGAGGATTTCTGGCGCGCAGCTAGAATTCGGGGGCTTCAGAGGAGTCACGCCGCATGATAATTCTGTAAAGACAGACGGTGTGTAAACGATCGGTTGAGAGAAAAAAAAATACAAATGAATATCAACAACACCCAGGTGGTGGAAGATCATGCCGAACCGAATGGGGGGGCTCTAACGCACCTCTTTAAAGCCTGGTCTATTTTGTCAGTTGCTATCGGTAGTCCAGCACAGTGTCCAACCTTCGCGCACAAAGTGTTTCGGTGATTCAACGAACATGGATTTACGAGGAACAAGCGCGTACCATACCCCTTAAAAGCTGAACATAAGCCGCTTATCGCTTCGGACGATGTGTGTGTGTCTGTTCAAAACACACCAGCAAAGCGGCCTAACTTTCCCTCTTCCGTCAAATGGTAGTACGTTAGTAGTTTGATTGGACGCCTCGACTCACTTCTCCGGAAAAGTATTGTTTGTGCTACCATGCATTCAATAAAAGAAAGTATAAGAAAAGAAAGTAGCGTTTGGAGTGAACAATCAAGGTGGGTATGCAGGGACGAAATACGAACGAATGAATCAGTATTTTCGTTGTTCAAACATGCTCATCGTAGGAGTGTTCTGAATTGTATTTATGCAGGTGGTATGAGAACAGCGACAATGCAGCACAATCGAGATTCAGGGCAGATCAAGGAGGTACAAGGCGGCTCCCGCGATTAGTCGATCGCAATCCAAACAGCACATTTGTCGAATCATATCTCTGGGGAAAGTGGATCAGAAGTGAGCATATAAGGCTCTAGGGGGGGGGGGGTTGTCGTTGAACACTGCCTAGAAGAAGGAATGAAACGGCATGCCAAATGATACTATTAGAAAGTTGATGGCCAACAAGAATCAACGGATAAATGTTGATCTCACTGTTTTTTCATTCCAACTCCTTCGTTCTCTCTTATTCTTCGTGTTGCGTTGGCACAAGTTTCTTCGCAAGCCGGTTATATATATA